AGCAAAAATGAAATGAGGACGGGTGAATAACCAAACAAAATCTCAAAAGTAAGACTCCAAGTTTACATTGTTCATTGAGATTCACATCATCCATGACTACATATATATCAAGCTTCAAAAGAGATACATATGAGAGATATTTCACTTCATAGGGATAATACCATTTTATCTGCATTAATGATTGAGAAAGTACACATCCACTTGTTGTGAAGATAGGTGTTGAATGCAGAGAAAAGCATTGATAATACTTCTTTTCTATTCTCTTCTCTACTTAAAGAACTTCTTCCTCTTCCTTTTTATTTTCTTATGAATGTGGGATGCTTTACAAATGAGGTTTATATGGATCTATATAGTGAAGAAGTTCACCTTTTAACATTAATGATCAACCACCATTGAAGACTTTCTAACCTCAATTGTACACTTTGTGGTAGCCTCTATTTAGGATATTATGATAGCCACCATTTTGAAATTTTCAGCTGTTGTAGAGAGCCGATATTTTTTAATAAGCTGAAAATTTGAATTCACATTTAACACCCTTCTACATCTTTTGCTACTAGAGTTGATCTACATCACGTGTCTTTATATTGTTGTTATCAAAGGGATCCTCTCTAGCCAACAGGATGCCCATAAATAACTCTCTTTGTCCCTAAATAACTTGCAAGAACTCAAGCTTATAGCCTAAATTCTGTAATATGAAAGCCATTGTACCAAGTGTATTTTTGCTTCTTATTGTAGAGATTGAGGAAGAGTGATCGAGTGACCATCATGATCCTTTGTTCTTTATAGTGAAGCTTCTCTCCCTTTTATGTGCAATGGACATAGGCCAACCAATGAAATCATTATCATACCTTGTTTCTTTCGATTTTTCTTTCTCCTGTCTTGTTCTCTTTTCTCTCTAGCTTCTCTCTCTCTTTAACACACACACAACACCTTCATTAAGAAGTAAATTGACTCAACAACTTAATTTACCCCCATTTCCTCTCTACGTTTTTCCCTCTATTGTAAATTGGTCGAAAGTTTACCTCCACATGCCATTTGATATGTCAGAAAAATTTTGACAGTTTGCATTTGGTTGGGTTGATTTGACATTTTCCAACCATGTAGACTCTATTTTGCATTGTCAAAGTGCTCATAGGCTCAATGCTTTAGACCTTGTCTAATGGTTGATCACTCCATCTCAAGCTTGTTTGGTCACCGGTACAGTAACTAATCAAATTGGGCTCCAATGCAGCTCTTTTGGGTTGCCTCAATGTTGACCAACGGACATGGAGCCGAAACCAAAGCTAAGTTCCAGAAAACCAGGAAGAAAAAACTTCATACCTCGTATATGATAGCTCAGTTGACTCCTCCGTTGAATCTAGCTAAAATCCCGCTCAGATACCTCGGCACCATCAAAAGACCTGAGCAAATCCCCGAAATCTGGCTGATATCCACGTCTTCTCCGGCAAATACCGTTGAAACCTCGTGATATGCCATGGTTTTCGTCGTTAAAAGCAAATCGAATGAAGCCCTCAGTTCTTCTTTTCCATTTTGCTACTTTCCTCCAATCCACTGAACTACTTTTGTCGGCCTCAGCTCCTGTGACCAAATCTCTCTACCGACTCACTTCTTCCGCCTGTAGCTCATCATCTTCCAAGCTTAACCACCTATCAAGCCACCGCAAACCTCCTCCCTTGTCGAACCCATTCGCAAGCCAAAGCCGGCCTTCCACTAAGCTTCTCCACCACTGTCCTATCTCCACTCTCACAAACCGCGAGCCTCATTTAGAGACCGAGCCCCGACTTGCATTCCGACCTCAAACTGTTAAATCGAACCCGAGAGCAGGCCTCCTTCAACGTCATTCTTCCTTGTTCACTTCTCACCCACGAAATCCACATCTGTCCCGACCTCTTCACCTGCTCTAGTGGAAATATCCCAGTACCCTTCCACCTTGCCTGCACCGATCTCCTCCCAAGACACTATACCCATGCCTCCGACCTATATATCCAAAGCCCACTCTCTAACCCAACCCATGAAGTTAAACCTTTGCGGCGCACCGAAAGACCGCCCATACAAGCTTTTATTGTGCGTGGTGGGATGGGACCCCGGTGCGACGCCTACGATGAGGCGGCTAATCACCTAAAGACTCATTTCGACGTTCGTGGCGCACAGAAAAACTGGCTATACACTTCTTTATTGCGCGTGGTGGGATGGAAACCTGATGCGACTCCTATGGCGAGGCAGGGTCACTTATAAGTACCCTAGAGCGGGGAAAAGCCAACTATGTTTAAAACTTGTACATTCAAAGATCTCATATACGCCTTTATTGTGCGTGATGGGAATGAAGACTACAGCCGCGGTGTCTAAGGACACCTGCTATACACGACTTTATTTAGTGTGGTGGGAAGGCCCAGGCTCCTGTAGTTTCCCCTAAACAGGGGAGACGTCGGGAGGCTGTCGAAATTTTGCCTGAAAATGACATGTACTTGGACTCGAACTTTTGAGCCTTTGAACAGAATTTGAACTTGATTGAACACATATAAGAGACTTGAACAAATACGAAAGACATGAATTGGGACTCAAATGAATGAACTATAAGGACTTGTATTTGAACACAAATTAAATGACTAATCAAGACTTGGACCAAAATAAAATAAGTTTGAACTTGAACTTGATTTGAATATCAAGTGAATATAATTTGAACAACTAACAAAGATTTGCAACTTGACTATAAAGGACTTGGTCTTTGACTGGAATATGAACATCAATCGATAAGCTATATGGAATTTGAATTGAGGAATAATCAATGTTCCAATGGAATTTTCATTCCAATTGGAATGCAAATAAAGGAGGATGATCTATCCGAATCTCATCAAAGCAAAGACCCATGCACAAGTTCATTCTAAGCTTTGACATAAAGTTTATTTGAGCAATCATAATCAGTCTATAACGACCACCTCAATTGGAGTGAAGGGATTTGTATCAAGTTCATCATGTACCTTGTAAACTATCTTTGAGGACAAAGAGTTTACAAGTAGATTTCTAAACTACCTTTGAAAACAAGGGGTTTGCAAATAGAATTTGTGCGTAAACAATGGGAAGATAGTGTAATATGTGGCAACCTATCTACAGATCATCATGGAAAATCTTTAATGAATGTCATAGTTAACTCATAAAGATCATGTCAATGCATGTCTACGATCAACAATAGTACTTATGCTTTCCTGACACATTTAGACATCATACAGTGAGTATTATGACTTCCCCCTAGTCAACGACAATGAATCATGAATAAATACAGTGGTTGCACACGCATGTTGAAGGTCAACACACGATGAGCATGATAGATGGCAGATAAATATGTGGGGAGTCTATTAAAAATGAACACAACTCATTCAACAGTCAACCTCAATTCATAGACAAGCCCATTCATCTACCTATAGGTAATGGTGATTGATTTGCAACGAATACAACATGTACATGGGAAATTTGTCAAAAGGCAGGGATGAAGGGACCACGATGGCCTGGGATGACGAAACCATGATCGGGTCCATCGTCGATTTCCCCACCATCCTCTTTAAGTGCAAGATGGTGAAATTTCCAATTTTAAATATCAAATGTTTTAACCTTCCAATTTCTAAATGTCCAAATCAAAACCCATGCTGCTACTATATGCTTGATACCATGTATCTACGGATACAACATATCTGATCGATGACTAGCCTTAATCGAAAGTTCTCTCTCGTGATCGAGAGGGGTAATTAACTTTAAGGGCTTGCGCCTATAGGAAACCAAAACTCAGATCATAAAGTCCTCACAAAATGAGGGCGAAATCTCTGGATAGTGTCTTATCTTCCAAAATTTACCCCGGAACTAAATTTTGTTAAAACTCCCCTGAAAAAAAAGTAAGTGGGCAGAGGCTGGGGTCGAATTTTCGGAGCCCACAATCAAGATCATGCTTCAAGACAAAATATGCGTTTGATTGCATAGGTTTTTTTTTTATGATTATAACAGTTTTATTCCTGAATGGCTGGATGGTGACAGCCATGTTAAGAATCAGGTTTGTTTTATTTTGATGCAAACATCATTTTGGTAATTAACTGATGATGCATTGGGGAGCAACTCTTGTCAGAATCAAGTGATTGACGTTTATCTGTTTTAATACCATATTTGAAGGACCATGAAGTTCCATTATTTGGAGCCTAAGTTTGCATCCTTTTGATGTTTTGTTATGAAACGACCATATAATGTATTGGTTTAGAGCCAAATTTTGTAGTTTTCACAGTTCGGTTCTATAATATGAATTTTTATTGTTGTAATAGTTGTTGCTTTGCCTCCAAATGCAACAGTCTAGAGCCATCTGAAGTAGTTAATTTTTTACTTTTGAGCTGTGAGGTTATCTTAGATAGAAACTCTAGTGTGGACAATTATTAAATCATTTCCCCATTTTTGCTCTAGCAATTTACTAAAAAACGTCTGTTTTCCTTGTGTTATTTTCCATGCTAGTACTCGGCATTGACAAATTTTGTCACATCATCGTAATGACCCTCACCCAAAAAAATTGATTTCATCTTGCTGCTTTGCAAATCACTAGCAATGTTTGTGTGAATTCACAATGCACTCCGGGCCACTTTAAACCATGAGACTGAACTTGCCAGACTTTCTTTAATTTTAAAATGGCCTAGCATTACCCTCATCAGGTGACTAGCATAAAATGATGTTCTATGGAAACCTATTTAAATGAAGCTGTTCTAGAGTGATGCCGGTGTCAGGTTTGATTAAGCGTAGGAGTATATATAGTATGTGATTTGATATCACATTAGGAAAATTATGCTCATAAGTCAATTCTGAGCCCACCAATTATGCGTGTCTCTAGGTATTTCTTAAAATTGTTGTTTCTCAACGTGAATTTTTTGCTCTTGCATTGGTTGACTTGACATTGTAATCTATTCTAACTTATTTTAACATGGAGGTCTCATATTCTTTGATATATAGATTTCTAATAAATCCTTTTGCTATAGATATGATGGTCAACGTGCCCAAATTCACAAACTTTCATCTGGCTCCATACGAATATTTTCACGCAAAATGAAAGAGTCAACTTCTAGATTTCCAGATTTGATAACAATAATAAAAGAATTTTGTAATCCGGCCCATGCCACTTTTATACTGGACACGGAGGTAATCCTTGCTGATCAAGGGAATTTGATAGCACGTATCCAACTAAATTTGTTTGCTAAAAGCCTTTTCTTCACTGTGTGGTTATTTGCTGGTTCCTTTTGCACTTTTGTCATAGATTGTTGCTGTTGATCGGAAGAATGGAAGTAAGCTCATGTCTTTTCAGGAGTTATCATCACGAGAACGGGGTAGCAAAGATTATTCAATTGCAATGGATGGCATAAAGGTTGGTGTGAACGGGTGAAAAAGATTTAAAATAAAAATTTCCTCCCTGTTATCTTTCATGGTTTATTTATATACATGTATGCTAATGCTCGACACACCACTACATGTCTAGTTTTACAGATAGAAAAACATGCTTTACCTTGATTGTAGTATGCATTCCTGATGTAGATAAAGTTGCATGCATCACAAATATTGAAGAGTTAATGACCAAAGTAGTTCCTAATTTTTTTTTTTTTTTTTGGGTACATTTTAGCCTCTGACTTTTCCAGTGTTCAATTTAATCCCTCCACTTGTCAAATTTGAATCAATTTGGTACTTAAATCAACTTTATCATTTATTTGGTTAAAAATAAGTGGGGGAAGTTTTTTAATGATGGTATTATGAATTGTTAGAGTTAATCTCACTATTTAATATCGGCTCCTACTTGGAAAGCTTTCCTTCACCAATTTCATCCAAAGAGATGGCATAGTTGACTTAAGACTTAATTAGTTTAGATTTGGTGAGTTGAGGAACTAATTGAACATCTAAAAAAAATTGAAACTAAAATGAACACGTAAAAATTCTCAGAATAATTTTAGTTTATCCGTTCACTCAATTATTAATTTTAAATGATCATGCACGTCTTTTTTAGGTGAATACTAGTGGAAATTGCTGGAACTGAAGCATACGTTTGCTGTTTGCAATTAAATTGCCTCAAATATAGAAACATGGGTTAGATTCATAATTATTATTTTTGAAGTAATTGCATCCATGAGAAATTTTTAAATAGCGATTTACATGAAAAACTTTTTCGATGTTATAATTTTCAATGTCAGGATATCTAAAGTTAATCTAATATTACTGACCTTTGGCCCTTTATTTCGCGGCAACTATTAAAAATTTCTTTTCTTTGTGATACATAAGCCTAACAAATCTTTGCAGGAGATTAATCTTTACCTTTTGTTGTCTCAACAGTTCTCAAATCACTTGAACTTTTTGTTATCTGAAAATATGAGGATTTATACATCTATAAAGGTCCTATGGTTACGCAATCAAATGAAGTTAAATGCTTCTAAAATTTCAAATTGAATTAAATCTCTCTTCCATATAAGTTTGCAGTATATTTATGGTCTCACGCGTACTTTGCTTAGATTTCATACTTGTGACTGAATCATGTCCTGGTGATAAAGATGATGTGCATTAATTTTCTTTCTGCGCTATCAATCCTTGATATCTGAAAGAATGATATTCTGAACCATTGAATTCAATCGATAATAACTTGCAAGCGACTGAAAAAAAGAATTTTTTTTTGAAATCATTGAAAATTGATCTGTTCCAGTTGTTTTCCAATCTCTAAACTAAAAATTTGTGCCATATGTTTCCAGTGTTTGTTTATCTTTATATATACCAAACTAGTGGACTTGATTCCAAGAGACACTTGTGTATCCTCTGATGGCAAATGTCAGAATTTTAAATTTGAATTCAAATGCATTTATTAGTTAACTGCATATGACATATGAACATGATACGATCTTGACTTTGAAATTTACTATTATTCAATTTAATATTTAACTATCTCATCATAAGTGTAATCTGTCATTTCTCTTAAATTTAAATTCAAATTTAATTATAATAAACTTATAGTTACGTATAGATTTTTATCTTTTTTATTTAATAGCTGACTACTTTAAATTTGAGTTTACGTTTATTTATATTTTTATTTTAAATTTTGTTGTTCAACCGTCAACCACTTTCTCATGCCTGGGCCTTTACATACAATTAACACCGAACTTCATTTAGTTCTTTTAATTATCCCTTGAAACGAAGTGGTATCGACTAGTTGTTTTACTAAAATAAAATGCAGAAAATGAAAAGCAAGATGCCGAACAGGGTTTTGATTTTCTATACTATCCATTCCAACCTGTGTAAACAGTATGCTTGCTTATTTCAAAAAAGAATTCTTATCCTTTTTAGGGATTTAATTGTAGAAGTTGAACTTAAAGAAGTTCTCTAGTAATATAAATTGTAAATTATTTTATGCTTTCCACTGTTTTAGTATCAATCTGCCCACTAGAGGATTTGATTAGCACCATTTAAGATCCATAACCATATGATCTTTGAGAAAATTGGACTGTTGGTACTTGAACTGATTCTCCATTATGGATGTTTTAATACCAAATGACATTGATATTATTTCCAATCCTGTAGTATTCAGGTTTTTATGTTTGCATTACATTTCATAGTTCCCAAGATTTCAAGTGTTAGTAATTTTTATATGAATTCTTAATCATTATCTTGCATTGGACATTCTCTTGCAGGTAGATATTTGTGTTTTCATTTTTGACATCATGTTTTCAAATGGAGAGCGGTAATTATCTTCAACCTTTTTCTTCACGAATCATCAACCCTTTTTTCCTGGATCTTAAGTCCTTACAACAAGTGTTTTGTTCTTCCTAGATTATTCTTCATTTTTTGTCAATATGAAGCCCAAAAACTAGATTTTTTGTATTTTGTTAATTTGATGACGTGTTCTGTTCTGTAATGCTTTTACAATAGCTTTCATTTCCTAAATAGATAATTTAAGCAAATAGATATCATAAACTTAGATTATTGTAAGCCAGGTTTATGAATGATGTTTTTTATGAATGCAATTCTGATTATGGTAATTGTCTTGTTATCCCAGGAAGGTTGTTGCTTAAACATGATCTATTTATTATCTAGTATGTATTCTCCATGTAGCAGCAAAGATTTAATTTAAATGTTGCAGGAAGTAGAGCAGCAGAGCTAAAGATAGGGCTCCAAATAAACCAAGCCGAGCTGACTGGGACCTTGTTCGTGCTTGACCTCATTTTTCAAAATCCTGTTTAAGCTCAAGCTCGAGTTCATGCTCGATTTGAATAGTTATAGTAGTGTTCAAGTTCAATTCGTTTGAAATAATAGTTTCTTGAGCTTGCTATACTCAACTTACATGATCAAATGATCCTTATCGAGCTAATTAATAAGCAACGCTTTTGAGAAACTTATTAGTTAACTGAACAAGTCCTATCGAGTTTATTAATGAGCAACCTATTTGATGCAAGCAAAATTTTGAAAAAGCCCCAAATTTTTGCTACCAAAAGCTACTCTTCATAGGGTAATAGAAAATACATCAAAGAGCACAAAATAGACAAAAAAAGAAACAATACAACTTTTTATAATAAAAGACTCTTACAAACTTTGACACAAAATCAAAACACCTAAAGGAGCTCTTCTTTGCTTGATTGAGAAAAAGGATACAAGTGGCACTACAGGAAAACCCGGTGTTACCGGCGAATAAAATCCGCCGATAATATGTGAAATCCGACGGAAATATAGGTTTCCGGCGCACGTTCCGGCGGAATTTTATGCGCCGGTTTGGTTCGCGTCGGTAAATATCTTCCGACGTTTATAATGCGCCGGAAAAGTTTCGGGCGCACTTTTCGGCGCATTATCGATGCAAAAAACGTTGTGCAGCTGGCGACTTTCAACCGGTAAATTCCGGCGATAACTGCGCCGGAACTTTGCGTCGTATGAGTCCGCCGGTAATTACGGGCGGATAAAGCGTCGTTGGTACGCTGTAAATAACCTACGGGTTGTTTACGACGCAAACTATGCGTTTGAAATCTCCGGCGGACCAGACGCCGGAAAAGGCACCGGTAATTTCCGGCGCACACAAAGACGCCGGCATGATCGATACGATTCGTTGTATCGTCGTTTCCGTCAAAGTACCGGCGCAAAATCCGCCGGAAACCTGTAGCATTGT